ATAGTTAATTTGATACTAATATCGATATATTTTTGTCAAATTTTTATGATATCGTCAAACATATATTTTATTCAAAAATAAAAACATCATCGCTTTATCAAAATCACATAAAGTCATATTATAACATCGACTGAGATAAAAAATAAAATGAAATATTAAAAACACGATGTATCTCGCTGCATTGCGTGAGTACTCTTCTAGCCTTAATAAAATAATACTGAACATGTTAAATTTCTTATGCTTTTTTTATTGATGATTTTATAAATATTTTCATAAATAAAAGAAAGCTCAATATAACTTGTAAATTTTGGAGATTTATCGAATTATAATGAAAATTAAAATTGGAATCTTGTGATAGCTCGCTCTTTCTCTAGCTCTCACGATTCTCTTTAATACTCGGTCGTCGTCCTTCGACATGTTCTTTGGTATCTAAATTTGCGATCTCTGTTCTTTTCCTTCCCACTTTTTTTTTTCCTCTAGGGTTTATAAGTCGAGAAATCTTTCGTCTTTGACGACTTCCTTCTAATTAAAAGGGCTTTCGGTTTCAAGATTCTTTCTATTTGCATGGTTCATGGAACAGCTGGGGTGAAATTTGCAGAATTGTTACTTGAGGTTTGAGCTGTTTCCTGGTAACTTGTTCGTTATCCACTTGTTTGCTTATTGTTCGTTCGAGAATTCGATTTACAGTCAAGATTTATGGTTTTGTTCGATTATTAAGCTAGGTTTCGTTCAAACGTTCGATTATAGGACGGAATGTGGCCTTGATCGTACTGATTATTAAGAATTTCAGGAAATTAGCTTCAATAGCTATTAGGGTTGAAAGCAGTGATTTATACAAGTGGTTTGTTTCATTAGTCCTGCCCGTGGTACCAGGAAAAAGAGCCGCACTTTAATTTCTGATTTCAAACTACTTTACAAACAAAAATTAGTGTGATGGTTTTACAATACTGCCGCCAACATTCTTCTATTTGCGGTATAGTTGGCAAATTCACCTAGAAAAACTTAAAATCCCCAATATTGAAGTTGAAAGGAGTCGGTTGATATTCAAAGTCCAAGTGTAGCTGTTTCATTTACTTTTTCTCCCCCAGAAAGGACAGTGTATATCTTTGAATTGGCTTTAGCTATGAGGAAAGGTGAGAAGTGTCATTTGAATGAATTGCTGATTGCTGGATCATCTATTATCTATTATTTGTTGTTTTAATAAATTCAAATGGTAACTGCTGTTTGCATTTTTTATCTGGTTCTCTGTGCAATTATGGTGAAATATTGCTACAAATTTTTGTTTCTCTTCCATCTCCCAGAGCGTTTTGCATACATGTGCTTTTTGATTTTGTTGCCATACCACAAATTAAGATTGTTGGCATTTGATTATGTTAAACCTAATTCTATGCCTATGTTCTGGTTACCTGGACTAAGTAAAATTTTTTCTGAATTGTCACTATTGTTGGTTGCCAAGATAGACAAGTATTTTCATCAAAGAACTTTTTTAGTTGTAGGATTGTATTTTATTTGAGCTAAAAAAACCCTAATATGTTTGAATTTCTAGTTTAGTTTGTTGTTGAATCAACTGTTTTGTTTTCGTTGATGCATCCATGTCAGATCTTCTCATATTTGTTACTTCTTTCAGTTTACCCAGGGGAGTAGTGTTAGCCTCATGATATAAAGATCAGCAAATCGTTTTATATAAACTTTCTGCTTCTTCACTCAATCTTACGGTCAAATATGCTAATAATCCAGTCACATGGTAAAACACTTCAACACTATATTCAGATAACCTGATGTGTCTGGAAGCCCTACACCCAATGGTCCAGGTCACAAGACCCAGATCTTGGTCGGTTTGCACATCAGTTTGGGTCTGGAGCAATCCTCACATGTGAAGTGAAGTGGTGAAGAGAATATGGAAAATGGTAGGAGCGCAAACATGCATATCACTCTAACAGAAAGAAGAATTAAGGTTTATGCATAGCCGTCTCCTGGAATCACTTGGTTTTGCACTGTGATTTGCTAGATATTATGTATATTCATGGTGGTTGTTGTATGTAGACGTAGTTTGGCATTTTTGTTTTCCGTTGTTTTTAGAACTCTAAAGGAGAGAGAAATCAGGGAAAGAAGCAGAGATAACAGTATTAACAGACATATGAGAGAGATAAACAAGTGTATGTGAGGGCATAAATATCAACACATCCTGTATGGCGTTCAAACTGTGATTGTACTACTATAATAGATAAGGAGAAGAGTATGACTCTGACTTCCCTTTCTCCAAAATTACTTTATCACTTTGACTTCCCTTTTCCCCCTACATTACTTTTTATTGAAATAATATATCTTAACCCTATAAGAACTCTGTTTAATTCTCCTATAATATTATTACATACAGAAGACACTGGTGATCAACTTAAAAGTACTAGATTATCATATACTCAAACAAAGTACAACGGGGACCATCCCCATAAACTAAATGTTATTACGTCATGCACCCTACAGTTACTCGTGGATGATGAAACTTGCCAGCATCTTGCATTGTCAGAACTTGGAATCAGGGATTTAATAAAGTTTCATTTCTTTTCTGTGACTAGACATAAAGTTATCTTGCCTTGATCTTTCGAGACCCATTATAAATTTCTCTGCCCCTTGTCGTGCCTTAAAGGAACATCAGCATGGATCTAAATGCATCGCCAGAACCTGAAGAAGATGAAGGAACTTTTGAACCAAATTTCAGCGAGGACAGTGCACCTGAAGAAAAACATAATCATCATGTAGACCATGTAGAGACAGCAGTGGATATCATGCGTCGGGTACTTCACTCTCTTATGCCTTCTCATTTACTTAAAAACAGTTGATATGTGCTCTGACCTATTACTTCTTCTCTATGCCTTAACTATTAGTATATACACTTTATGTGATCTTAATCTTAAAAGCAGGACTAGTTCTTATGGCAGGTATGCATACAGTTGCTTGTTCCCATAAACTTCTATCAATTAAAACTTCACAGAGGTTTGTTGTGCAACTCATGCAATAGGATAAGAAGCTGAATTTATGTAGTTGTAAGAGGGGGGGGTCATATTGAAAACTTGCTAGGTTGCCACCACTACCTGAGATAATTTTTTTTGTAACCATCCAGAACAGCATGATGTATTGGACACTATTATGCAAATTTGATGTAATTGATTTAATTAGCTTGACATTGTGAAAGGTATAAATGTGTGAGGAAATGAAACGCCAGTTATCTGTTTGAGGTACTTGTTTTCAGTGTCAACATTTAAAATCTTTTGTGAATATCTTTTGTTCTTTGTTATACCATATTATACGGTTATACTGGCAAGTTAAGTGACCACAGTGAATTATGTTTGGTTACATTAAAACATGTCAAGTAAATAAAGCTTGTATACGAATTATTGCCAGATTTGTGGTTGATGTTGTTTACTTGTTTACGAGTTTGAATAACCTATGTTAATTAGTAATTTATTAATTTTATTACTTCCATGCTTTAAACTTAAAATAGATGGTGTATCCATATCTCCAATGAATGGTTCTGACAATTGTCTGTCTGTTGTTTTTTCTGGGAGCACATGAGGTTCAGTTGGCAGAACCAGCTGGAAAGTTTGAGCCTTAGTGGCTGCATGACGAACCTTTCCATCTCTTATACTTAAAAAGTGTAGTGAAGTAGCTTGTAGACTAGAGGCTAATTTCAATTTGGCATCCTGTCTATTTCGGTTCATAAAACTTCAATCATATTTAATGTGCACAATGGTGCAGTATGACTTGTGTTGTGTGGGAGGTGAAATTTATGAAAAGGGTACATATGTGATTATAAAGTCTTATGGGAAGTATAGTGCCGGACTGCCGGTGGTAGTACTCAGTTATACACTAATTGGCTAGGTTTTCTTATTTACTGATGGCAAATCAGCCACACTTTTAGGATGAAGCTGCAACATTCTGAGGAGTGTCGAATCTGTCATTCCAATTTACATATTTGTATAACTTGTTTCACTCGTATCTTGTGGAGTCGATTAAGCCTTCGCCCCCAACTGGAACAGGTCGTATTGGCTCTCTTTGGTAGGATAAGTAGCTTGGCTAATGATCTATAGCCTTATGATCTGGGCTGTTGTGTTTAGCTCTTCATTATTTTAGCGTTCTCGTTCCGAAGAAATTATGATTCCATGGTTTTTCTAAGGTATATCTGTCGTATCTCTCATATGCATAGTTACATGTATTCATGATCTAGGTAGACATGCCCAAATTCGTTATGTAACTACACTAGAGCTTGGTCTAATTGGATGCAAATAAAAGTTTAACATTATGTATATCCTATCAGGAACGTGAAGAAAGAAAGCAACGGTTGAAACGAGAACGCCCAGATGACAGACCAACACATCAGGCTTACAGGGCAATGAATGATCATCTTTTTCAAGCAAAGAACCAGAGAACTTATGATAAGAGTCGGCTTCCTCCAGGTAATTTTGATGTACCAGTAATTTTTGCATTGTAAAAATGGATTAGTTTGTAAGTTGGTCATTGCTATTTGTTTTCTCGTCAATTTCTTTTGGTAGTATGAGATCTTGGTTAAGTACTATCCACATATTTCCTTTCATTACAAAATCCCAACCATGTGATATATCTGAAAGAAAGCTTAAAATGAAGCTCGGATGCAAGTAAGAGTTTAGTGTTTGGTTTGCTGTGTCTCCAAGCCTTACCATATCATATATTTATGTCATTGTCAATTTGTCATTGATAACACAACAACCTGCAAACAATAATTTGTTTTAACTAGAATTGTAGGCTTCAATTATTATATTAAGAGAATGACTTATGGTGTTACATAGTTGCTGGAAAATAATTAAGAGACCATAGTTTCATTGGATATTATTATGTTTGCTGATGGCATGGTCAACATTTTTACATGATCATTGTGGAGCTATGCCTCCACAGATGTTTCTGAAAACTCTGCTTGTTTCCAATATGGAATAAGCGGATTTTTTGGGAGCTGTTGTTAAGGGAGAATTCACCATTTATGGTTAGAGAATGACGGCAAGGAAATAATAGATGTTTCTGAAAACTCTGCTTGTTTCCAATATGGAATAAGCGGATCTTTTGGGAGCTGTTGTTAAGGGAGAATTCACCATTTATGGTTAGAGAATGACAGCAAGGAAATAATAGAAAGAGATGGGAAGATAGGAAGAAGAAAGCGTTATGCATATCCATATCCCTTTGGTATTGTAACTCCTTTGTTTAAACAATCCAACATATTTTAAGACGACTCAACCAACTTCAAGTCTTCAACCCCCGAACCTAACTAACTATCCAGACTTCCTTTCTTCTGTAACAACTTCTATTAACATTGTTTATTTCCTGTAACATACTTCCCCCTTCTAAACAACTTTTCCTCAAGTCTATGCCAAAAATCTAGAAGTTCCCTTTCAATTGTGTCACTGTCCTTATCTTTATTTCTTGTAATTTCCATCGTGAACAACTAAGCCTCTCTAAATTGACACTTGCATTGCTTATTTTATGGGGCTGATCACAATCATAGCTCAATCCTATTGCAATATTCACTACTCTCACATCTACCGGAATATATCTTAAGTATTTGGTAGGACTGGCACTTGGTTTTGTCAAAGCAAGTGGCCATGCTTTATTTGGGGGTGTTAATAGTGGGGGTGGTTCACTGTTAGACAACATAGGGCACCAATTGCAATGGTGTAGGTGGAAGAAAAATGGCTTGATACTTGTCTTTGAATGTGGATTAATGGAACTCTCAGACTCCTGTAACTCGACAAACTCTATAGCCGTTGTCAATGAAGTAGGCTTAAATGCTCTCACGAATGGCTTCACCCAGGTTTCGAACCCCCAAAAAAACTGTCCAAGATAGTAGAATCTTGTGAAACATGATTATTTTGCAACATTATATGCCTTCAGATTCTAGAGTTCATCAATGTAAGCTTTTGAGGGAATCATGTTGTTTCAACTTATTGAGTGATGAAATTCAATGTCAAATGCATGCTTTCTAAATTCACATGATTACAACGGTTTCTCAGCTTTCGAGAGGTTGAGATTTTCTTCTAAAGATGTCTCCAATTGCAAATGAAAAAACTAGTTGATGCCCCTTTCCCTTTCACAACCCCTTATTTATGTTTTAACCCACCTACATACTACCCTTTGCCCACTTGTACCGGTTGGTGCAACTGTTTCTCTTTTTTTATCACTATCTACCAATATTGACCTTTGACCCTACCATTATTGAAATGACTAGTTGACCTAAAGTATAACAATACCCACCCCTAAACTTCCACCTGGTCCTCAGTGTGGGAAAAAAATAAAAATTATGATTCAAAAGCATTCCATCGACTCCAGATGGTGGTGGTGCTAGAGGTGGCAGCGATAGCTTTTGGTGATCATCGCCTAATCGGTTCGTGAACAACCTTTCCAATTGCATAGTTTTTTCCCCAACATACTCACTAGTTTTTGACTCTTCTTCGCAACTACCGATTGCTCACTTGTACCAGTTAGGGCACTGTTTGTACTTTTCTATCACAACCTACAAATTTTGACTTTTTTACCCTACCACTATTGACTATTTGACCCAAGTTATAATCTGGAAGGGTATAACATTGAACTGCTCTACCACGTTTGTCCCTTACTCATCTTTGAACTGAGTAACAGATCAATGACAATCATTTATAGTTGTATTCTCCTCACACATAGCTCGAAGCCCAATTTTCTAATTTTATATATCATATTTACTGAAGCTAAATTGACTCGTTGGAAATCATACACAAAGTAAAATACATACGACACGTCTTTATTCAGATTCTTGGATTGGATCCATCAAACGTCGAAAACTCCAGTTTTGGTACATCTCCCAGACTTCGTTGGACCTCACATTACCATTATTCCTTGGTAATTCTATAGGTGTTTCTTTTTCAAACCTATCTTTTGATTTTTTTCTCGAATATCTTGATGTGTTTCTTCACAGCTGTAACTATTGATTTCCTGCTTATCGGAGGAGCCACCTTGTCAAAACAACACACAAACGATAATAAGATCTCCTTATAACAATGTTATGGTGAATTCGATTCTCTTAATGTTTAGAGAATGACAGTCAAGAAATAATAGAAATAGATGGGTAGAGATAGGAGAAGAAAATGTTATGCATATTCATATCCCTCTTTGTATTACAACTCCTTTATTTATACAATCCAACGGACTTTAACGCTCCTCAACTAACTTCAAACCCAACTAACTATCTAAATTTCCCTTTTCCTATAAACACGTCTATGAACTCTGTTTATTTCCTGTAATAGATGTGGAAGGTTTGTTGGTGATCGTGGACTGAATTCGATGATGTCGTCGAGGTATTTTCCATAGTGAAAAAGTTTATATTTTTAAAGTAGCTATTTGGTAATTGAAATCTGAATAAGGTGCTGATTGATGATACTCGTAGTTGTATTAAAAATGCATGTGTAAAAGAGGGTATCAATTGGAATGAGGATTTGTTGAGGTTCTCTTGAAGAGGAGGCAAGTTGGTGTCAGTACCACCAAAAGGCTAGTCAAATGGTGAAACAGGATTGTAATCAGATACTTTCAGGTAACAACTGCATGTGGTGGCTATTTAGACGATCATTTATCTTTGATCGTACCTCTACTAGAAGGGCTACAAGCATAGGAGTATGGTACATTACCTCAAATGGAGCACATTCTAGAAGAAACAACTAAATGGATGGGAAGTCTTGTGGAGATCGGAGATGGAAACCAAAGCATTATTGACAGAGATGGTGGGCAACAATATATTAATACTAGGCCCCTTTGTAAAAGACTTCTCTTCATTCATGATGGAAGATGATTATGGGAGATTCATTGAAAGTTTGGGACTTGCATATCAATGGTCCCAAGAAGTCTACTATTATGCTTGACAGCTTGAGGTTAACGCCTCCGAGACTTCCGTTTGGTCGCAATAATCAGTATGGTGGCATACAAGTATGCATGTAATCCTACAATTGTTTTTAAACGAGTAATACAGAGGTAAGTACCATATATCGTCCTCTCGGAAAGGTGTTTAATTAGAATCCAAGCCAAATGTCACTTTAAGATGGTGAGTTTGAAGAATTGTTTTAGGAAGTTGATTTGATGGTTTTAAAACAGAAGTAAACATTAAACAGGTAGCACGGGTGTAGGGTGTAGCTGAGTTAAATGAAAAGAAATGTAATAGAGATTATGCTATAATCTTGATCAACGGTTTGCCAAGTACTTAACTTTACTGGGACACTTTGCTAAGTACCGGAAGACACTTATCCATAAGATTTGTTCTCCGCTTCCTAAGCAGATAATGTGCTAGGCATGGTACATTCCTTTAATCTCCTTTGTAGTTGTATGGCAAAACACAAATTCCTTTTTGTACTTGCAACTCTTTTGAAGTTATAATCATATGATCCAAGTTGTCTCATCTTTGTTCCTTATTCTTGAGTTAATAAGGGTTTAACACTTCGATTAATGATCAACTTGTGCATCAAATGTTAATGAAATCAATATAAACCTTGGATAAGCAACTTGGGCATGCTAATCGGGCATAGCACCCTTGCTCCCTTTCGGTTCATTCAGTCTTTCCTCACACCTATGCTGTTATAGCAGTGAAAATACAAAATTGCGGTCAGGACTGATATTTGAAATAGCGGTTATAGCGGTTTATATAATATTTCTTAGAATTATATATATGTATAATACATACATAAACATATTATTTGCATCAATTAAGAATATAGTTTCAACATCAAACCATCAACTTAAACAAGTTTCACAAAACAAAATAGGAAAAGTGTTCATAAACGAGCTAATCACAAGCAATAGGTTCAGATCTAACAATCCCAACTTGGGTTGATATTAAAAAGAAAGTAATTGTTATGTTAATGGATTAAAGTTAAAACATAGCCCATATCTAAAAAGCCCAACTGCCCAAAAAACCCCCAAACCCCCCCAAAAAAAAGAATAACACTATTTAACCCTAAATATCGGTCAAAATCGTGGTAAATTGCGTCGATAATTGCATCACCGCTATTTACACTGCAATTTGACCATTGATATTCTGCTTAGGGCCGATATCCGAGATTGCGACGCTATTGCAGCACTATTGTGCTGCAATTAACAGCATAGCTTCACACCCACATTTATTAAACTAGCCTATCGTTACTTAAACAAGCAGTAAATAAGCACAATAAGTAAAAGATGTTGTCTAGAACCAAGCTGTAAAACTTAAATGTAAGAACAATGGATGGAAATAACACAAACGAGTTCTAAAAGAAACTTTAAAGCTTGTTAATTCTGTTAATTGTTGAAAGCTTAGTTAACAGTAAATACAAGAAAATTAAATCCATCATTAGTGCTGCATCCACTTTTTTATACCCATAAAAGGGTGGATACTAAAGCATTAACCTCAAGTTAAACCAGAGGTTGGCCTAGGGAAGTTTTCAACCAGTAGCACCGTTTAGCTATAAGAAAGAATCTATATAACTCTTCCATAATGGTTGATTCCTTGCCCTTGCCCTTGCCCATGCCCATGCCCAAAAAGAACACGTGTCGAATATTGCAATAGCATTGTCTTTGAAAAAAAAAATTAAACACAAAAGCTATAGAAAACAACACAAAATTTAAGCTAAAAAGTAAGAAATGCGGCACTCGAACCTGCACCCTTTTGTGCAAAAGGACAACACAGTAACCATCTCTGTGATCAAGAACTTATGCCATTATTGCAGTTTAAAAAAATACAAGGGCTCCCAACAGAACAATACAGTGGCACCCTTTAGAGACATAACTTTTCCATTACGACGGAACCATGAAGTCTTGGCATGTGCAATATGCTCTTAACTAGGTCCATCTCTGGGTTAAAGCAAAAGTAACAAAACACATACGGTACAAAAGTCTACATTCTAGGAGTGCTCCCCTTCATCATGACGGTACCGATATCACAAAATAGATCTTCTGATTGTCAACTTTCCATCTTCCATTCTTCATCTTCACGGAAATTCACAAAAGCCAACCGCTTCAGCACTTCTGCCGTCAGTTAGACAAGGTCCATCATATGCTGTTTTTTCACCATTTTGGGAACTTCCTATTAGAAAATTGTTCATCACATGATATATCAATTCACTGCTCCAATGGACAAGAAAGATATAAAAGAAGAAAGAAAATGACTCGATCATTCATAAAAAGCACAAGAAAAATATGGTGGATATGATGCTATCATCTACTTTCATTCTCTTCATTTTTGAGAGTTCCTTCTTGAGTTTTTCTAAACTCTAGCAACTATTAGAGTTTGGAAATAACCTACCTGTGGCTGTATGAATTTCACATTCTGTATCTTTAAGGTGGCGTTTGGTTTATAGAATGAACTTTGTGAGAATTGAAATCCATCAAGGAATTGAAACGAAATTTAATCAGGTTTTACCATGTGTTTGGTTGGCAGCAATTGGAATGGAATATGTCAAAAGAATTGGGATCTGTTTGTTTGGTTCTCTAAAGTTAACTTTAGAATTATAATAAAATAGTGATAAATTACCACAATACCCCTTCATGATATTTTCATACTTTATTGCTTAATTAATGAATACTATATCATGAAAAATTTAATAATAATAATATTAATTGATGGCGTGGTGGGGTGGTGGTGGCGACAGCGATACTGGTGGTAGTGGTGTGGCGGCAGTGGAGGCGATGTTGGGTAGTCGTGGTGACTGTGGTTATAGCGGTGGTGGTGGCGGAGATGCTGATGATGGCGGTGGTGGTGGCGGAGATGCTGATGATGGTGGTGGTGGTGACGATCGTCATGGTGGGATGGAATAGATTAGAGTAAATATAAGAGCACAATAGTCTTTCTTAAAACATTTCATGAAATTGAATTCAAATTCCTTACAAGGAATTTAATTTCCAGCATATGTAGAATTGGAATTTCGTACCAAAACTCATAGAATGAGACAAACACATGAATGGAATTTGATCAATGGAATTAACCATTCCAATTCCACTAGATGCCATCGGATTCCAGCGAACCAAACACCACCTACCATTCCTTAACGAGAAGTTCCCTATGCAACCCATACACATTATTGACGCTTCTAAGAACAACCTTCTTGCAAACCGCCTCAAGCAGATAGGTAACGAAACAAATCTCGTCAGCAACCAAATGAATACCCAAAATTTTCGCAAGTGGTCTACAAAATTGTGAGGCATGAAAGCCATGATTGAGCAATGATGGATCCTATGCATCTTTATCGTCCTCATCCTATCCGACCCAGACTAACATCTCAAACCAAATTCTACATTCACATGTGATGCCTGATACTCATTCTGACAGATTGTTTTGGATTTCAGGGAATCTGTTATCCTCAACTGGCTTAGATATGATTTGAATTCTATATCTGCTTCCATTCAGTGAACCGGTTGATGATTTGGAAAATAAGAACTGGACCTGATGAGATGTCATGACATCCTTACCTCGTCTTAGATTATCCAATACTAGCTTTTGCCCTGTGATTAGCGTGTTTTCATGCCCATATGAAACCTTTGCGAAATGTTGGTTCTAAACTTGCGTCTCCTCGACACCTGTAGCTACACCACTCTTATCAAGAGTTTTGATGGAATGTGTCGCCACCTTAAATATTCGAAGCATGCAAAAAGGTTGAAAACAATCCAATTTTTAATTTCTAGCACCGTAAGTTAACACCAGGATCCAAATGTCCTTGCTTTGTAACTTAGACTTAGTAATCCGTATGGGGTCCCATTTTTGGTAAGAATATCTTCCACACATGTCCTAAGACCAACATATGCTTGGCTGGTTTTATATTGTTACATTGAATGGCAGAGTGCTTTCACCTCCACCATTGTCCCTTCTGTTATATACTTTATCAATCCATAGAAGCTTTTAGGTAGCCTGGCGTCACATTTTCTTTTTCTGTTTCATGCCTTTTAATCTCGAGACTTAAATTTGTGTTTTTGCATGGTTAATATATTGTCAGAATATTAAATTACGCCTGCTTTATTTTAGTTCTCTTTTTATATTGTAGGATGGTTGGATTGCCCACCATATGGTCAGGAAATAGGGTGTATGGTTCCTTCTAAAGTTCCTCTTGGTGAAGCTTTCAATGACTGTATTGTTCCTGGTAAAAGATACTCATTCAGACAAGTCATTCACCAACAGAGAGTTGTGGGGCGGAAGGTGAGTATGTATCAATCAATCGATTATTCTATCTTGCTAATGATTTTACTATCTCAATTTCTTCATCGATATATTATCACTTGAGGGTATGAATTTCTTTGAACTTGAACTTGAACTTTCAAAATATTTTGTTCTGCTTACTTCTGCAATACCTTGTTACACATTACGGTAGGAGAATATGTTGGAAGCTATTCCTATTTTAAAAACTAACGAGCTTAATTTTTATTTGCTCTCTTATTCAGCTGGGCTTGGTGATTGATCTTACAAACACAACTCGTTACTATTCCGTGAATGATTGGAAGAAAGAAGGCATCAAGTATGTTAAGGTTGGTTTCCAAATACTTTCTAATAAACTTCTGGTGTATGAGATAGGGGTTATAAGAATTAAGACCTTGTTCTGTATCTTACCATATAATGATTATCCATGTATTTTTGTTATTATTTTTGTTTGATTCAGATCAACTGCAAGGGGCGTGGTTCTGTACCAGAGAATGAGGCCGTAAATCAGTTTGTATATGAGGCATGCTATTCTTAGAACTTACATATATCTCTTGTTTGTTCAAAATGTGTGCTAGTTTCTTTCTCCTTTCGCATCTTTTGTTCTAAATTTATATATGTTGATCATAGTAGTAATGGCATGAGGTGCTGACCCAAATATGAGCCATGGTGCATGGCGTGGTGCATGCAATTTTCCAAATTAGAAAAGAAAAGTAAGCTTTGACAAACTATTTAAAATAAGAAGAAAATAAACTAGTATTCCAATACTAGAAGTGACAAACAACTAAGTGAATAAACAAAAACTGCTGCATATGTCGCTAGAGTCATTGCAAAAGTCACCAAAATACTAAATAATTAGCAACTAGCAAAATTTGTGTCTAAACTTCAGAAATAATGTAAAACTAACAGTAGATTAACACATTTTTTTGTTTGCTTTTGTAATTGTAATGCAAAACTAAACTAAATTAACACGTAACATAAACAGATGTAATATTGTTCTGCAGTAACACTATAACTAAAAGAAAAAATCACTTTTTTACCTTAAATATACTGCTACACTCTTGTTTTGCATTGCCTTGCGCCATGGCCCATGCCTTAATTACTATAATCTTGATCAAATAATACTTGAATGTTATATAATACTCGCTGTAATGCATCAAAAGCATACCAGCTAAATCTTCATGTATGGTTGTTTTTGTGGAAGACCATAATGTAGGGGTTTTGGAGAGAGTTTTGTGAAGGGTAATATTTTACTAAATTAGCTTGTTATGTAACCTAAGTCTTCCCAACTTACTTACCTCTCATACTGACATGATTAGGAAGTAGCACTGCAACAAAGTTCTGAGTTGCCGGTATGAGGAAGTGCAAGAAAGCAAATTCCATTTGTTACACATGTTGACTAGCTGTTACATTTCTCATTGCGCATCTGTATTATTATTGGTTTTATTTTCCTCAGAGATGACAATTTGTTTCTGGTTGGTTTATCTAACAACCCGAAGGGTGAAAGCAAGCTTTCACTGACCAACCTTCCATGGGAAAAAAGTTACTTATAGTGGCTAGTATAAATGTATTCCTCATCAGGTTTCTCAATTCCTAGCTCGGCAAAAAAACTCAAAGAAGTATATCCTTGTTCATTGCACACATGGGCATAACCGTACCGGGTATATGATTATTCATTATCTCATGCGAACAGTGCTGATGTCTGTAACTCAGGTCAGTTATAAGCTGGTTTAATTGATTGTAGATCTGTATCATGTAATGGACTTATGCCGATTACTCTGTTACAGGCAATACAAGTTTTTGCTGATGCACGTCCCCCAGGAATATATAAACCTGACTATATTGATGCCTTATATGCCTTCTATCATGAAAGAAAGCCTGATTTAGTCACTTGTCCTTCAACTCCTGAGTGGAAAAGGTCTTCTGAGTTTGATCTGAATGGCGAGGCATTACCGGATGAGGATGACGATGGAGTTCCTGTGGATCCTGTGGATGTACGCTTTTCGCTTATTCTACTTGTTTACATTTTATAATCGCAAGGATGCAAACAGCTCTTACAAACAATTTGAATGGAGGACATCATTATTGGGACTTATCAACTTGAGTGTCTTTGATTTTGTTATATATGAATTAAGGAAGAGGCATGTTGTTCCATATAACAATATAAAGGTTCACAACATTGATCTTAAACACTTTTCTGTTTGTGTCAGGAGAATCATGATACCGAGGGGGTCATGACAAACGACGATGTTTTGGGTGACAGTATCCCTCAGGATCAGCAAGACGCATTCCGACAGTTCTGTTATCAGGCGCTTAAATTAAGTGCAGGGGTAAATAGTCCTTTCATTGTTTATCTTCTTGTATATTGTTATAAAACAAAATGAAGTGAAAACTTAGTTTTTCTCTATGAACCTGTTAAGATAATTTTCTAACGTTTCTTAAAATAATATATGGACTTAGGGGCCGTTTACCCAAACTCTTACGTGGTAAGCGCTTACCGGTAAATTCAACACTCTCACTTATTTACGGGGTAAGGTCAAGGTTTTCAAGAACGGAAACGAGCCTTGAGGCTTTTTCTCCTTCGGCACGTGAGGCGTAAGCCTTGAGATGGTTGAGGCGTAAACCCCTAAAAACAGAATATATATATATATATATATATATATATATATATATACTTGTATGTAGCATGCTAGAAAGAAACATAAAAAGAGAAGAGAAGAGAAGTCACTATGTAGTATATACACAAAAACAGAATATATATATACACACACATGTAGGGGCAGGTTCAAACGAGAAGGCGGTTAATTTGCAAGAAGGTGAGAGGGAATATGAGCCACACAATCTATTAATTAAAAAATACCATAAATAGAAAATGAAAAATAATTTCAGAAATTTGGATAATTATCATTTTGAATTGGATAAATCCTTAAGGATCTCATGATATCTTTTTGATTTATTTATTTTTTAATTTTAATCAATTAATAATTTTTTTTATCAAGTTTTATATAAAACAAATTTAGATACACTTTTGAGAAAATAATTTCACAATTTTCAGCAAATATCACATGTGATATCTACAATCAATTCATATGTGGTAATTGTAGATATTTTTGTTAATCATATGTGATAATCGTAGATATATTTCTTAATCATATGTGATTATGTATATTTACATTTATAGATCATATGCAACAATTTACCTGGTCTCTAACCATGGTAAGAGTCGTCGCCCTTGCTTACCGTGCAAGACTCTAGGTCCTTGCCTTTGCTCTTACTTGGTAAGATTTTTGGTCCTTGCCATATTCATCCGTTAAGGTAATGTTACTTGGTAAGCGCTTACCTGGGCAAGTGTTTGGTAAACGGTCCCTTAATATCAAATTTATTAAACATAACTCCTCAAACTAGACCCACTGTTAGATTGCTATAGACCAAGGAGGCTTCCATTTGGAATTAATACAATTTACATCCAAGAGCGAGTCACTCTCCACGTAAACCTGGATAAGCTCATGCTAATAGCAATAGATATGTCTCTCAACATAGCCTTAGCTGCCTTCTTTTATTTCTGTTGAGGAAAGGAATTTGAATTCTGTCGGAATGATTGCTTGTAAAGCTTCTCATATAGAATTCTTCTTTGCAGAAGATACATCAGCATTAAGTTCGTGATACCATTCTGTTTAAACGAACTCCCATTGCCTTGAACTTTAACGTTATCCAGTTTTAGGATAGATTTCATCTGAACTTATTTAAGACTAGAACTATTAGTAGGCTTATAATTGGAGACATAACAGTAACATTGGAAACGTTCCTTACATCTTTATGTTGCGCCACTAAGGTCCTTGTTCGAAAGAAGTAGATGGCTTGGTGGCTTTACTGTGAGTAACTGATATAAAGGCTGGAGCTGGAAATGTCATAATAACCAGTTGTTTGCAAAAATTAATCCAAGTATTGTGTTCTCTAGGACAATAATTTTATTTTTCTTATGGTCTTACAGAATGATAATTACTTTATAAAACAATGTTATGGGAGAATTTCCCCAACAACCAAGATAAAAAGTATGATTATTCGTAATTCCAATATGTGAAGTAGTTTCGGGAGCTAAAAAGTTGAAGCACCTTGCTGTGGAAAGAAACTGTCATCGGGGAGTTCCAAATAGTTTCAAAGATTACAAGCTCAATCTGATAGAAAAGATGAGTGATGCCTTTTGAAATGTTTTTCTCAATGCAGATGTGCTTAGAGACAAGTGGGGAGCAAATCTCTCTTCACTGGTTCTCCGGTATTAATATTTTCTGGCCTTTACCTCTTATGACACCTCCTTTTTGGTAGAAATCTACTTTTCTAGCTAGTGCGTTCAATGATTTACACCGGAGCTGGCTAAACCATCTTAAGTGGGTGGTATGAGTCCGTGTCGGTAGTCACATCTCACTCTCTCCTCTATATAATCATTTCTAGTATCCTCCCTCAATGTCCCATCCACCGAAGCATTTTCAAATATGCTAGGTTATATGTTATTGCATTATGCTCCATGAATGTAGTAGGCCTTACGTCTATTGTAGTAGCCTTTTCATTTAATGTCACTGGATGACCTATCTACATACCTACCGATTACAGTTCCTTCTCTGCCAACCAACGCCTCCCACATAGGAATCGATCTCTCCATGGCCATGTTTAGTTGCCTACTTGCATGTTTGTCATTATCACCCACTCATTATGTAACCCTATGATGGTACAACCGTGTGTGTGAAAGAGAGGTATGCGCCCATAATCAACTTGGGGCTTAATTTGGTTGGTTTTATAGGGTTCTACATGATGTAATTATCTAAAAGAAAGTTGCTATTGCGGTGGCAATTGTTTTTGGTATTAATGGACTGATTGATTGGTGGCAAATGGGGTTAGTGCTTCTGAAAACAATTAATATATCCAATGAAACAATTAAAGTTGAATAAAACAAACCATAGGGTGTTCAGAAAAATACATTTAGGTTTGTAGGGAGAAATCTTGCTGCACAACAAACCTAGTGAGGTTTCTTCTAGAGTAGTCCACATGAATATGTTTGGCTCCAATAGACTGCTAGCTCCAAACCCTTAGATTTCTAATCTAGTATGTGTTTTTAACTTAAAAGAATAATGTTTCTTTTCTGTTTTTCAAGTAACCTAAAAGTATCCTAATGGATTGACTAAATAGACTTACGCCTTATCAACTTATTTATAGGTTGACCTTTGGTATTAGAGGTAACCATAGGCCGGACCTACCTTAATCCTTAAGCCATTTAGGTTTTATTTAATTTTAGGGTAAAATGTGCAAAATAGCAACCTACTTTCATAAAATTTCATATTATAGCATTGTACTTTCACTTTTTCTTATTACAACAATGTTCTTTCAAAACATTAGAACATTGTTCTTTGGAATATTTACCCGTTTTAACATTGAATAACTAAGTAACTTGTTATCTTTTAAACTGGTTTCCTTCGCTTACATGTAACACCTAAATGACTTGCAAGACACATAGGATATGCGTACATGGTAGTGGCACTAAGGAAGAGAAAACTCTTTCAGTAACATTTTTCTTAAAACCCTTTCCTTCACTCTTTATAATTCTTATTCTAACCTAATGGAATTTAATTAAGTTAACTTTTATGAAATGGGCACTGAACTTAGATGAACATTCAGGTTATTTTGTTGACCTTCACCAATACTTTGATGGGACCTTTGTGGAACATTTGATGCCCATTCACAAAGGAAAATGGAAGTTGACCTTCATATAGAGGAATTAGGGAGCATTCTGCATTAGTTGTCTGCCCCAAATATTTATCTACATTATTTGAACATTTGTTCCAAACATGTTTAATATTCCAGCTCTGCAATTTAAAAGTGATCTTGGTTTCACTTTGGGCTTATCTATGATTTAGCTTTAAAAGTGGTCCATGATTTTTTATTTCTAGCGATAATTGGTAAGAGTTGTGGTTGTGCTGTGTTATTGATAAGATAAAAATGTGATAGGAAGGGTTTTTCTGAGAAGATGTTTCATTTTTGTAAACATGTTTAATTTATGAAATAATAATTTTTGGTAGACATGTTTAATTCAATGTACATTGTTTTATTAATTAAATTATTTTTAAAAGTACAATGTTGTAACCATGCAGCAATATGTTACACGTGGACATCCCACGTGGGCAATGAGATGGCATGGAAGCTTAGTAACTTGTGTCATGTCATCTTAATTCAAATCAAAAGGTTACCATTGCTATATTGGTAAATGTTTCAAAGTACAATGCTCCAATAAAAAATAATTTGAAAGTACGTTGTTGTAATAAGAAAAAGTGAAAGTACAATGTTATAAGAAAGAAACTTATGAAAGTAGATTGCGATTTTACAAATTATGCCCTTAATTTTATTATCTTAATAAAATTATATGTAAATATATTTTCTCATAAACTCTATAGTTATCTTAATTACAATTTTTACACATTTTAATTATTCTACTAGAATAATAATTAACAATCAATATCATAAACACATGATATCATTTGGCATTCTGATTATCCAATAATCATATCGAAGCATACGTATTCTTTATGTTCAACCCTAATAGGTTTACATAGTCTCTAGCAATATTATTGTGTGACACACATCGTGGACATATAAAACTTACACTTATTAATATTGTTGTCTCTGACTTTGGGGGGGAGAAAAAGAATACAAGGTGGGTGTATCTTATAGGGAATACATCTTCGGATGTCTGATCTAGAAAAGCAATATCGGTAGCAAAAAGTATACAGAGAGGAATACTTTATGAAGTATATTTGTACCTAGCACTACTATTTTTTAATTGTAGACACGAGGCCATAGCTCAAATATATGTTTTAGGAAGTATATTATGGGTTTAACTCAAATTCTGATGCGGAAAAGAAGTCGTCATTCATGGTGTTGGGATATATTTTAGATTTCTAACAACACCTCCAACACTTGCTATTCTAGTAGTAACTCATTTTCTAGTGTAGAAATAAGTTGATATTAGTACCACCGGTTAAGAGGTTTCTTAATTAGTCCAACACTACGAACACTACTGCTACTACATTCTTGAAGGGGTTTTTGTTTCAGATACTATCTTTTAAAAAAACATGAGTTTTCTTTGCTTAAAGGGTTTTCAACATCAGGCTCTACCTTGCTCCTTTTACTTGAGAGGTTTTTGTATTGGACTACCTTTTCCAATATTATCAAAAAACACTTGTAGCGGATTGGCTTAAAAGAGCCAACTATTTCCTGTAATGCAAGTCCTTTTCGTTCCCTTTCTTAGGTCATCTCATGTATGGTGTATTTTTTTTTCTTTGCTTCCCAGGTTAGAGGGAACCATCAATTTCCAGGATCACATCCTGTTTCTTTAGACAGGTATGAGTGTCTTAACTCATCTTCATTCTATTTTGGTATTTTTATGGCTAATTGACTATAATGATTGAATATTGGATGTTGTCGATATCTTGTTTATGAATCTACTATTAGTTTTTCTTACCTCGTACTTGTGGAGGTGCATTTGTTTAAGATAGAATAGTAAGGTCTTTTAGGTTTTCACCTTTCTCCTTAAATGTGCGTTTGGTACATTGAACAAAACAGAACAAACAGGGTTCACTGTTCCACGTTTGGCATGACTTTTATGTGGAACAGATAGGAACAGACATGCTCCACCCCCACCCCATGAAACAAGCCTATATTTTACCAAGATACCCTCAAAATAAAACCTAATTCTCTTCCAAGACATCAGATACGTATCCCTCTTTACATTTTATCCACTCTTTAAATTTTATTTTATCCTCTTTAAACTTTCACATTACTGTCCTTAAAATATTTTATATACGTTTTCTATATTTTGGTTAATATATGTAATTAAATATTAATAATAAAAATATAATATAGAAAAGGTATAGATAAAAATCGGAAATTTATGAACTTCATATTTTGGTGTCATTTTTAATCGTCTTGACGAGAGCTTTCTAATGATATATTTTGTCATAAAAGATATTTATTTTGTTGTAGTTTAATAAATTAATCAAATATAGAAAAGATACAAACAACTCATTAGGGGCAAATTAGTCATTTTACGATTTCTATCCTGTCGAGTCCTATCTTACCAAATGTTGAACAGTTGTCATGGGTACCAAATGCACCCTAGGAGAATGGAAAAGTTCTAGATGAACTATATTATAAAGGCTTGAAAACTTGTTTCAAGAGAAAGTGAAAGATAATTGCTATCTTATCCAACTTAATTAGTATTTTAAATATTTCAATAGTTTCTTTATTGTGATAGGATTCCACATTATAGTCTATAGTAGAGGGTACGACAAGCATTAGAGAGTAGCAGGCAAATTGATATAACTTTGGTAGTTTACAATTATGTCAGAGCACTATCCACGCAATCATCGAAATTACTGCCATGGCGACACTGTTCTCGTCAGTGTTAATAAACTGTTCGTTTAAGACCATGCCGCCAAATAGAAACGATGGGCTTGAGGATAGATTTGATACATAAATGCAACAATTAAGGACCACACTTGATTACCATTTGGAGGCCGTGGAACAACGGTTGATGGAAAAATTCTTGACCTTGGAAGCATTGCTCACCAAGATTCCGGAGAAACAAGAAGAGACCGTGGTGGCAGCCAAGCGCAAACATAGAGCGAAAGCAATCACAACTTAGTGGTGCTCAAGGGTGAGCAACACGGAAACAAGGTGAGGGAAGGAACCATGTAATTCCGCGGGAAATAGCGGGAGAACAAAACAAATGGGGGGTGAGATTCGAGCTATATGGAGGTTCCCGCAAGTCTGCAGGAGACTTAAGGGCCGGAGAGAACGAACCTTGGGCAAAAGAAGACAAGTGTTGTTGGTGGCAGTGATAGCGGGCCGCCACACTGGAGTGGACTGAACGCCAACCAAGGCAGCCAGAATGGAGCAATAATTGGAATAGGACGAGCAGAACCAACCACTATTGCTGCTCCCTAGTGACAATCCCTAAACAAGGACTGCAAAGGGGGTTGGTTTGTAGGTGGACTAGGAATCAGGGATCTAAGTGGCGTGTACAAGGCATGAATGGGGTGCGATCGGTTTTTGAAGGGGTAACCATGGGTTTTCAGGAGGATGGCTTTGGAATCACTCTGAAAATTATAGCAAATCAACTATAACTACAGTCGGCCGAGACCTATCTATAATGAGGCCGAGTTATAGCCAGGAATTGGGTGGGGAACCCAACTTACCTTGGAAAACAAGGTGAATCCTATGAGTGGACGGCCTACGGGGGCGTAACAACCACAGGATGAATTTGTTGTGGGAGGGCGGTGATTTAATAGCAGTGGGTGGTAAGGTAGCTTTGTTACCTATTCCATCAGGAACTACGAACGTTACTTCGAAATAAATGGTTGTCGCTGTTTTATGGATGGGAAAACCTTACACTAGAATAAATGGAGGGAGAAACGTTATCATTACGTACATGGGCCCAAGTTAGAGAAGCCGCCTTGGAGCAATTTTGGGTGACTAGAGAAAGGGATCATATGAGCAATTTTTTCCTCCTACTGGTTAATATACTCTCGTACCAGTATCCTAAGTGGCAAAAAGACGAACTTGAGAAGGTGATATAGATATGGGAGGGCCCGGATTATACCAAGTGCAAGCCATTTTGAAGTCCAGTACTAGTAAAAAGGACGAAAGTTGGCATTTTTTGGGTCAACTACTGGGCACTAAATAAAGAAACAATACTATGCAAGTTTCTCATTCTAGTGACAGATGAGTTGCATGGTGCAATCATATTCTCAAAGATCGACTTGAAGTTACCATATTCGGATGCGACCCAAGGACGTAAATAAGACCGCCTTTCGGACTCATGAGGGGCACTAGGAGTTTCTAGTCATGTCGTTTGGGTTATTCAATGCCCCATACACGTTCCAATAATTGATGAATAAAGTATTTCAGTTGTACCTATGGAGATTTGTTATGTTCTTCTATGATATTTTAATATCAACTGGAATTTGGAAGACCATGTACGATACTTGAAAACGATGCTAGAGAAGTTGTAGAAGCACGAGTTGTATACAAATCGAAAGAAGTGTTTATTTGGCAGTCCAAAGCGGAATACCTTTGTCATGTAGTATCCGCTGAACGGGTTTCGGTGGATCCTACAAAAATATCTGCCATGCTAGGTGGCCGGTACTGAAGACTATAAAAGAGTTAAGGGGATTTCTTGGTGATATTATTGAAAGACGTATTTAGAATGCAAGGAATGGTCTTGAAGCAAAGTACTGTATACCACGCACGCTGACAGAGGCCAATTAGAAGTGGTAAACCAAAGTATTGATATATATATTTGAGATGTTCTGTATCGAACACACCCAAACAATGGGTGCAATGATTAAATGGGCACAATACTTCCTACCATAGACGGCTTAGAATACCCCTTTAAGATTCTCAATAGACGCGATTCTTCCCACTTGCTACGCTATGGTCACACTATTACGCCAAGGTCTAAGTTGAGCAGGATTTGGAAGAATGAGAACGGACACTAGAGGAACTTGAAGAACATTTGTTCAGGGCTCAACAAGCAATGAAGAGGCAGGTTGACGGACATAGACAAGATGTGGTTTTCAGTGTGGGAACAAGTGTATTTAAAATTGCGCCCTTATCGACCGAATCCTTAGCACACCGATGAATGAGAAGTTGTCTCCCGACACTTCGGTTTGTTTGAGATTATGGAACAAATTGGACATGTTGCTTACCGACTAAAGTTACTGCCCCCTTTGTCGCTTCACTCGGTGTTTCATGTGTTGCAGTTGAGATAAGTCACTGGTAATTAGAGATGGCCAAATGGGCTCGGCCCGGCCCGTAACCGCCCGAGGACCGGAGAGGAACCGGCTCGGGACCGGTTGTGGACCGCCGGTTATGGATTTTAACGTTTTCTAGG